GTCCCAGGCTGCCCAGGGCAGTGGTGGAGTCCCTGGAGGGGTTTCCAAGCTGTGGAGATGTGGTGCTGAGGGACATGGGCTAGTGGGTACCTGGCAGTGCTGGGGGAACAGCTGGACTCAATGATTTTAAAGGTCTTTTCCAGCTGAAACAATTGTATGGTTCTGTGTTTGTACAGGCACGTGCTGGCACATTGTCACACTCACACACGTTGCCATGGGTATTTGCACACAGGCGTACGGGTGCACACATGTGATGCACAGGGGGCTGCAGCTGCCAGACTTCAGCTTGGCCACCAGCTTCTTCCCAGCTTGGGACTCTTCAGGGTTTGACTGCTCCTGGAGCTGCTGGTGCCATGGCTGCGGAGCTCGGAGGCTGGGGCCTGAGTGGGCCTGACCTTTCTTCCCTGTGGTTCTGGCTGCTCCCACAGGATTGGCATCATTCTGCTCCAGATCCATGAGTCAGAGGCAGGGGCTAGGGAGGGGATAGAACATTCCCACCCAAGGGTACCCGTGGATGAATGGGTCCCAGGTGGTCATGCAGCGCTGCCCACCACATCCCCACGCATCCTGGTGCTGGCTCCATCTTGCTCCCAGCCAAGCAGCAAAGCCCCAAACCACCATTCTCCTCCAATATTTTCCCCTTTGCTGGATGCTTTTCAGCCAAAAAAATTGGGAAATACAAGCGGCCAGGAGGATTTCTGTCCCTGAGGACATAGAAATGATGCGATGGGATGCCAAAACCCTTTTCTTCCCCAGCATCAAGCAAAGCAAGAAAAAGAAATCAAAGCATGACTGCAAATGCCCATGCATGTTCTCTCCAAGCCTGGTATTTTCTCACTGGGAACAACCCCAAAAAGCTGGAGGCGGGTGGTGCTTTGCTTTCTCATGCCCCTGTCCCCACATTTTGTGCCAGGCTTGCTTGCTGCAGGAAAAGTGATTTTGGTGTATTCCAGAAGCGAGGCACCTTTAACCTGCTCCCAGCTCTGAAAGCCAGCAAGATTTTTTTCTGAGTGTGGCTTTGCTGTTTTGGACGTGAGCGTCTTGGTGACACCAAGTTCAAGGGTGCATTGCAACCAGTGACAAGTGGAGTTCCTTGAGGATGTGTTCTGGGTCCGGTGCTGTTGAACATCTTTGTCAGTGACGTGGGTGGTGGCACTGAGTGCACCCTCAGCCCGTTTGCCAATGACATGAAGCTGTGTGGGGCAGTGGACTCACTTGAGGGAAGGGACCTTGACAGGCTTGAGAAATGGCCAATGGAAACTGCATGAGGTTCAACAAATCACAGTGCAAGGTCCTGCACTTGGGTCGGGCTAATCCCAGGCACAGTTACAAACTGGGTGCAGAGCTGGTTGAGAGAAGCCCTGAGGAGAAGGACTTGGGGGTGTTGGTTGATGAGAAGCTCAACATGAGCCATCAGTGCGCTCATGCAGCCCAGATACCAACCACATCCTGGGGTGCATTGAGAGGAGAGTGGCCAGCAGATAAAGGGCCTTACTTTGATCTTGTGAGACCCCACTTCAAATACTGCATCCAGTTCTGGTGTCCCCACCAGAAAAGGGACATAGATCTGTTGGAATGATTCCAGGTGAGGGCCACAAAGTTGATCCAGGGGCTGGGGCATCTCTGCTATGAGGACAGGCTGAGGGCACCAGGATTGTTCAGCCTGCAGAAGAGAAGGCTCTGGGGGACCTTAGAACTGCCTCCAATACCTGAAGGGAACGCACAGGAAGGCTGGAGAGGGACTCTTCACAAGAGTGTCCAGCGACAGGGAAGGAGAAATGGTTTTAAACTGAAGGAGAGCAGGTTTAGTACAAGGCTGGTGAGACTCTGGAATAGATTGCCAGGAGAAGCTGTGGATGCCCCCTCCTTGGTGGTGTTCAAGGCCAGGCTGGATGAGGCCTTGAGCAACCTGGTCTAGTTGAGAGGTGTCCCTGCCCATGGAAGAGAGGTTGGATGAGATGACCTCTAGGGTCCCTTCCAACCTCAGCCATTCTATGATTCTGTGATTCTGTGATCCTGGGATCTGTGGGTTTTGCCCTTGCAAAAATCAAACCTGCTTGGCCTGGGGCATGTCACCTAAGGATGTGGACAGTGACCCATGTCTGTGGTTCATGGACCATCCTCCTGGCACCCTTCTCCTCCAGCTCTGGGTTTCCAGCCCGGGCCAGCGTGCCTGGCTGTGCCTGGCTGATGCTCCCGTTTTCAGGGTGAATCAGACAGAGGCACATGGCTGTCCTGCACCATGATCTGAGACCTGGAGACTTGTTGCATGAGTGGCTGCAGGCACTGGGCAAGCACATGGTGGCATCACTGCCCTGCAGCAGGCACCAGTGTGGCTGGGCCATCCCCACTCCCTCCACCGCTGCATGTGGCCACATACCTGAAGCTGGACCTAGCAGCCCCTGGAGCACAAGGTGCCCTTTTGATTGAAACCTAGCCATTTTTGGAGAAAAAAAGACCTTTTCTCCATCGGCTGAGTCAGCTGGCATCACTGGGCAGCTGTGCCATAGCAGCTTGGGTGGCATGGGAGATGCTGGCTCTGTCCTGGCGGTAGCATCAAACCGTAGTATGTCTCAATTTGGATCCATAAGGGTCATCAAGTCCAACCCTCTGCACCTCACAGAATGACCTAAAACTAAACCATATGACTAAGAGTGTCATCCAGATGCTTCCTGAACTCTGCCAGACTTAGTGCTGGGACTGACCACCCTCTTCGTGAAGAACCTTTTCCTAATGTCCGGTCTGATCTTCCCCTCATGCAGTTTCATTCCATTTCCTTGGGTCCTGTAGCTGGTCACTAAAGCAAGACCAGCACCTCCCCCCTCTGATGCCCCCCCTGAGGAAGCTGTAGACTCTAATGAGGTCACTCTCAGCAATGACATCACTCCTCAGTGATGAGGTCACCCATCAGCTTTCTCTTCTCCAAGCTGAACAAGGCAAGTGACCTCAGCCACTCCTTGTAAGTCTTGTCCTCAAGACCCTTCACCATCTTAGTCATTGTCCTCTGGACACGCTCTGCTAGTTTGATGTCCTTCTGATATTGAGACCCCAAAACTGCACACAGTACTCGAGGTGAGGCTGCACCATGTGCACCTTTGTGATTGGTGCCCCCCAGGCCACGACTGGCCCTTTGGGCTGCCAGCGCACACTGTTGACTCCCATTCAACTTGCCATCAATGCAAAGCCCCAGATCTCTTTCTCTGGGGCTTCTCTCCAGCCTCTCATCTCCCAGTTTGTATGTTTTGTACAATTTGAGGAACTGGCTGGGATCCTCAGCCTGGGGAGAGGAGGAGTGGCTGGTGAGCTGGTGGCAGGGAGAAGCTCATTAGAGGCAGAAGGTTAATTATATCAGACATTCCTGGGGAGCAGGTCTTCTTTGGGCCATGCCAAGTACCAGCTGTCTGCCGTGCCCTTGAGGTTTGGCAGTGCCATGGATGCTCTCCCCAGCCCTTCACTGGGCTGTGGAAAAGAGTAAGTAAAAAAAGGAAATTTAAAAGTTCTTTTGATGTAATCTGCTCATCTGCATATGAACACTTCCTGATCTGCCACCCCAACCCCAGCACCCGCAGAGCCCCAGCAGCCAACCCCACCCTGGTGCTGCCGACCCCGAGAGCTGCTCTGTGCCCAAGGTAGGGGCTCTGCCGGAGCGAGGAGGGGCTGTGGGGGTAGCACGGTGCTGAGGGCTCACCAGGGTGCCAAGCTGCTCCTCACCTAGGCCAGACCCACACAAAGCAACACCCGTGTCCTGCTGTTTCTGGAGGGTGCAGTGAAGGAACGATGCTCTCTCTGGCTTGGTGGCGGTAGGCACGGCGTGTGGCACTGCCAAGCTGTGCTGGGTGGTGGGGGATATCGAGGCAAGCGTCTGCTTTGGGCACTCTGGGGATCCAAGGGTGACATCAGTGAGAAGTAAAAGGGTTATTTATTGCAAAACAGCTTAATGGGGATGCACGGGGGCTGTCCCTAGCTAGGGGCCAGAGCTGCTGCTCCACAGCACCGCTGCTCTGGCCGTGCTGTCCGTCGCCAGCTTCAGTGCCTCGGAGCACCAAGCCCATCGCTGCGGCCACACTAAAGCCCCCTGCAACACGGGGCCCCC